ATGTCGATGCAAATGAGCGATGAAACGTTCGTGTCCTTAACTTATTGCTCTAGAGATGCTGCACTTTAATGGTATTTTTTAAATTAATGCCTCGGTTCTTCCAAGGAATACCAACCAAACTGATTTTCGAATTTCGACTTGAAATTTTGCATAGAAACGTCTTAGTGAGAATAGTTTTTTTTGAATGTTTCAAGTTTTGTCGCCGTTTCTATCTTAACATACAACTATGGTAAGAGCGTGTCTTTTACACCACACACATAAACCATCAGATTTGATGTTCTCATTTCAGGATAGAAGCAAATCAAAAGACCTGAAACTTTCGCAAAAAAAATCTATTCTCATTAAGACTAGTTTCTATGCAAAGTTTCAACACGAAATTCGAAACTCAGGTTTTTTCTGGTGTTCTTGAAGGAGACCATGACATTTATTTAAAGAATACCATATAAGTGCAGTATCTTCGTAGCAATAAGCTAAGAACACAAACTCTTCATAGCTCATTTGAATTTGTATAATGCACAGTCGTGACTCAAAAGCGATTGAACAGTTGAAGTATTTCTCTCGTTAGTAAAGTTAATACATTATAGGTATGCATCACTTACAGTTATCTTGGAACTAATTCATCAGTCATAAATTAGGTCTATTGCTAGCCTAACATAGATGATAGAGATTAGTATAAGAATATTAATTGTATATCCAGTCAGAACTGGAGCTGGTCCATACCTAATTCGAGATGTTTCCGTGTAACGGTCATTTCATCATTGTAATATAGTATCTTTTAAGAAGATATACAGAGAATATTAACTTCTCAGTTTTGACCATCCCACTGACTTTTTAATGAGGATTATTGAAGATTTCCTACGTAATAATTCTGACTAAGATTTACTTTTCAAAATGCAAATTCTATACACAAACAAATCATTTATGTTCTTCAATAAACGTTCTTGAGTCTTCATGGTAATCATCAAATTCATATGGAATGTGCTTTTTGTTTTAAATAACGAGTGACTCATATCGTCTATATAAACTTATTAAAAGACTATTCAGTATTACTGACACGATCATTTTATTTAAAAAAGTGCATGAAGTTATTCAAATAAAACAAAAACTCATAAGAATTATTCTTCAAAATAATAAATAAACATTTTTTGTATGTTTGTTTGTTTATGATTAATCTGTTTATCGAAATGTCTTTTTTTATTATATGGCGAATATATATATATATATTTATATACAAAAAAAAACAGTTTTCTTCTATTGATGTAAAACAGACGTTGATGGAGCATTGGTTAATGATTCCTCTTGTATTGGTTGACATATTCGTGCATTTTTAAGTAATTTTGAATAGTTATGACGACGACTAAATTAAAACATAAAATCAACTAAAAAATTTATTCTATAGTGTATACATACATTCTTTGAAAGAAACAAACAGTTAAACCAAATGTAATACCAACAATAGCAATTCCTAATAGAACAAATAACAATCGACTTGTTCGATTAACAATTGAATTTCTACTAAAATCATTCGATAAATATAATGATTGATCATCATACAAACGTTCAATATCAATTTTAGCTTGAAAAAGTGCACCTAAACAAAATAATCAATATATCTTAAAAAAAAATAATTTTCACTGATAAAAACCTGTCAAAAGTGCTGTATAATTATATAATGATGGTGCATTGCCGGTTTTCATATTGAAAGGTAAAACCGGTTCATCAGCGGTGATATTTAAGCAAATCGATGATGAACCATATGGTACAACATTTATTAAATGAATATTACCAATTCCATATCTTTTTTTTTTATTATTTGAAATAAAATTGAATTTCAAAAACGAATTCACTTACTCAGCATCGCAATGATAATCTTTTTTACAAAATTCATTTAAATGATGAACAATTGACATTCGAGTTCTATTCCATAATGATTGTTCCATCCACTATTCGAAAGAAATAATTCTTACAAAAGAGAGAAGAATGCAAATCCTACTGTTTGTAATGTAAATCCATCCAAAATAATCGATACAGGTAAAGTTGTTTTAATACCGTCTGTATTTATATTTCAACAAAAAAAAATAATATCTTTCAAATAATAATTTACCTGTATAACCAATTTTTATAGTTGCCAAAAGAATAGTAGTTATTATGGTTAACAGCATTATCTTTCAGCTAATAGGAAAAAAAGAAGGTCAATATGACCACTAACTGAACTATATGTATATAATATGTATGAAATATCTATGTGATATGGAATGCTATTTTCTTCGTTCTCTTCCTATAATGATGACCATCAATGTAATGTTGAAGATGATGATTTATTTTTTCTGGCATATAGAAAGATACTGTCCGATGATGAGAAAAGAAAAAAGAAAACACATTTTGCCTTGCCCTCAATCTATCGAACATGCTTGCATGAATATGCATCTAATTGCAATCCTTCTTCTTCTCTAGGGCTCGTCTGCATATATAGGGAAATCAGTTGAGCATCATTTCTTTTGTATAGAAATACACATGTGTAAGAGATTACATATATAATATGAAGAAAAAAGAAATAGACTTTGTTCAAACTATGACTGATTTCATACTTGTGCTTTTCTTGTTTTTTTTTGTTTAATAGAACGATGATCACATATTCAAGAATGTTCTATACTTATCAATGAATCAATCGATTTTTTTTCTCGAGGAATGTATGTTTAACAGATGTTTCGAAGAATATACAATGAATCGATCATTGTCATGATGTATTTTATCTATGCTCGAATAATCTTTATGTTTAATTAAACTTAATGTTTATTTTTCATGTAAAAAATATTGAAAAAAAATATTCGTGATTATTGTGATATTATTAGGATATCAATAGATGAATTAATATTTTTTGCATTTAAGTTTTTCATCATCTAATACATTTTATTAAAAAACAAAATATACTACAAGATGCAGCGTGAAAATCTCTACAATCTACAATACAAAGATTATTTTATATATGCATCGTTAGTTTTCAAAATAGACAAAATTCTATGTGACTAATTTTCGACTCTGTGAACAAGATCGTTTTTTTCTTGTTACACGATAAATTTCTTTTCTTATTTGATCAATTAATGAATCAGAATTTTTAACTTTATTCCATTGCATATTATTAGCAATAGCGTTTCACATAACAATCTACAGTATTGAGATCATGACTGTTTGATGGTCATCTGTAATTGCTTATGAAATTCTCCTTGCATCATGCCAATGATTTCTGATGTGTATGCGATATGGCATTGCCTTGTTGATAGATGAAATTATCAGCTATTAGTTGGCGCTGACTTCCAGCTTATACATATGCAACAACAACTTCAACATAGTTCTCATACAATAATGTTTCACTAGATTTAAATATAATTGGAGACTCTAGTCAATTTTTAGAAACTTCTAAATATATATATAGAACATTCGTTCATTCATTCAAATTGTTTTATTGAACTTAAATTCCATATCATAATTCATGGATTTTCAAAAAGTTCACGTGAATTGAAAGATCAAAAACTCATAGTCATATGTGTAAAATCATTTTAAACTTTTAGTGCATTAACATTTACCAAACATTTGTCTTTTTTTTTCTCGTTTGTTTTTAAATTACTGTACATAAGCGACATCTACGAAGTCACAAGAACTCTTCATAATAATGATAATAATTTAGAAATAATATTAGTGTCTGAAGGCATAACCAGGGTTTTGATAGTGGGGATTTGAAGGTTGAAATTGGCTGAACTCTCTATTTGGTTGCATGGCTTCAAACAGTGAAGAGTTTCAGCTAGATACGAGCACGATGGTTTCAATCTCGATTCTGTCAGGATCAAAAACAAACACTCTCGCTTATATCTAGGCTCAACATTCACATTGCTTACGTTACTATTAGCAACAAACTTGATGAATTAGCTTTAAACATAAATTATTGAATTATTTTCTTAGACATATGTTTTTTTCGTGAATATTCTACTGTTTCACCCTAACATAATATAATTTTGATCTCAACTTTTATATCAAACAGTTTTTTTTTTGATTTATAACGTTCATTAAATAGAAATATTTTGTCGTATTTATTGAAAAATAATCTAAATAAACAAATATTGGATTTTTAAAAAATGTTCTTCTATCAAACACAATCCAATAGATGACTTATGTTCACCAAAAAAAAAACATTCATATATGAATGGATGATGTATGAAAGTATTCAACATGACCTTTACATAATTTTCTCCTTTTTTTTCAATGATCTTCGCTGTAAACGTAATAGATTTTCCAGCTTTTACATACAGAAAAAAAATAATACACTTTCTAACAGCTAACTCTCAACAGTAATGTTATTTTATTTTATTTTTTTTTATTGTCATAAGATAATCTCTAGAGATTATGATTAGTTTTCGAAATAATATCCAACTCGAAAACTATGTCAACTAGTATTTCTTTAGAATAACAACTTTTTGCCTGTTACTGACGCATGATTATCGTGTAGTTACAATAAAATATATATTGCTCTATAATTATATGTCGTTTTAAAAAGATTTTAAAGTAATATATTATTCATTAAATTCTTCAACAAAAATTTGTTTTTTTTTGAAGACTTGAGATGAACGAATAATTATTGCAAATTTTAATCAAACAATTGCTACTCATATGTTTTGTCAGGTATATATGATAAAATTCAACAAAAAAAAATTTCTTATTTATTTTCAAAAGATAGGCAGCTCGTGAACAAGTTTAGGGTTCTCGTTATCAATGGTTTATTATTGGTTATCCATCAATATCAACTTGGTGGAATGAACCAACTAATTGTTCAATGCAAGAAAAAATTCGTGCAATTAATGGTACATTACAAACGCGTGTATCACGTTTATCTATTGATGATAATGAAGTATTTTTTAAAAAACCTATCGAGAAAAAAAAAAAAAACAATTTTTGTTTTTGTTTTTGAATTATTTTTTTTGAATCGATCAGAATATATTACGGAATATATGAAACAATTTTCTAAATTAGAAAAAGATTATTTTGATGCTTATGTATATGATACAATATGGAGTTTAGCATATCTTTATCAATCACATTTATTAAGTAATCAATCAATTATTGGAATATTTAAAAATGTTCTTGAAAATATTGATTTTATTGGCGATACTGTAAGTGAATTAGATAAGTGAGAAACAAAAACAAAGAATATTTATCAATATTGTTAAATTTTCAGGGAAGAATCAGGTATTTAAATGGTGGACGAATAGGTGAAGTACTTGTTGAACAATTTGTTGGTAAGAAAAATATTTAAGAAAAAACAATTATGTTTTTTTTTTCTAAATAAAATTTCAATATAAAATTTAGCTTGTCGAATGATGAAAGATAAAACATGTAGAATTCCATGTTATGAAGAAGAAGATGATTGTCATTTAACTGTTGTAAAAATTTTTCTTGCCAAATATTTAGAATCAAAAGATGATTCACCAATTTTATATAAACTTAATCCAATTATGTGGCATGGTTTGTTTTTATTTTATTAGAAAATATGGTTTTTCTGTTTGATAGAACATGATCTAAAACGAGTGTTGAAGTATAGGAATAAAAATTTGAACTTTTCACAGATCGTACATGCTGTAATCAAGGCAATATAATAGATGTTAGTCAAACACCATTACAGACGTTGAGGATTAAATAATGGATGCGTTGAAAGTTTTGAGATATTGTAAAATGAAAATGTGTCAGCAGTATACAACTATCTTGATGTCGATTCATGAAGATCTTATCTCTTTTGTAAACAGAAATTTTTAGAAATATTAGGAAACTCGCGATTGTCTCCTTCGAAAGAATAAACAATGAAGTTTAGATAACGTATAACATTTCAACAATATTTTTCCATAAAACCAATTGCATTTAGGATAGATTTATTATATTGTAATTTTATCTTAATTCAAACAAATGCAGATAATTACTGCTTATATCTTACTAATCGAAATATCTATGATATTCGTTACAAATTCAGAGATAATAGAAAAGGAATCATCCATAGTCAATATGATTCACTATTACGTTCTATTATTCATGTAGTTCCATGAAATGAATTGTCGATGCAATGCGCTCAAGCTTGTATTGACAGTGGTGAAATTTGAGTTATGTTTTATTGATTTACTTCGTGGAACTTCTTCATGTACGTTCAATCAATAGAAAAAAAACGGATGCATATGAGCATAAGAACGCGATAGGTTCTGAAATCCGTTCAAACTTTATTCTCAGGTCTTTCATAAATTGACTAATAACTCCTGAAATATAAATGTAATAAAAATTCCGAACCTACATTGAGAAAGTACACAAAATTCTGATGTTAAACCAATATTTTATAGCTTCTGCTAATTGTCTTAAACGATCCAAAAATGAAGAAACATATTATTTCAAAATTTTTGGCCCATCCGTTAAAAGGATAGTGAAGAAATGTATGCCAAAATAGATAGAATAGAACAATCTTCCATTAGTTAGAAAAAATAGTTACATCTTACTCTACATTTTAATTCTGTAAAGATTGTGCTAATAGGTTTTTTTTGTTAAGGAAATGGTCCACCACGAGATCGAACAAATCAAACAATTCAATTTGAACATATTTATTTGTCAGTATTTATATCAATATCAATATGTAGTGGAATTGGATTGTTTATATCATGTACTTTTCTTGCTTTTAATATTCATTTTCGATCACATAGGTAAAAGAGAAAATAAAGGATAATTGAATTTTTTATTTTTATTTCATTTAGATATATTCGTATGTCAAGTCCAACATTAAATAATATTATTTTAGGCTGTTGCGTGTTAGCTTATATTAATATGATATTAACCCTTTGGCCGCCGCCGCCATTTATAAACGTCATGGACTTTATCAGTGTCTAAACTTGATGCAATCAATCGTAATGAATGTTTTTTAGATGCATTTACATAAGAACAAGCACTGGATAATGTGCGCTCTTCAACATACCATTTTACAAAGACAAACTATAGAACCATTCCATAAAAGATAAATAAACTTTCTTCAAAATCGTTTCCTCCTTCTCTTATGTCGGCAGTCAAATGGTTAATTCTAATATTCTCAAATGGTACAAACTTTTGATTTTATTCATATAACTGATTATTTCTTTTTACGATTATTAGATAAATAAAGAATCGGCACTCGAATCTTCCCATCGCATTTTACAATCGAGTAAAACTCGAATATCATCTAGTTCCATGTGAGAACATATTTTTCTTAGTTATTATTTAAATAAAAGCGCAATGCTATTGCTAGTAAAAATGATATTATTCAAATTTAAATTATAGATAAATAATTACAAAAGAACAATCAAATTACTTTTCTTCAACTATAGCATATATTAAAGAAATATGTTTATTCTTGTTATAATGATTTGATTTGATTTTAACTTTCAAACTACCTTTTTTTATTGAAAGAACTTCGAACAAATATTTATAATAAAGGAAAAAACTTATGAAAAGTTTTTGGTCGAACAAATGGTTTATTTATATGAAGTTTTTTTACTTGAGTACAATTGAGACGTATTGGATCAGTAATAAAATTGTTTGTTAACATTGTAAGTGATTTGTATGTGATGCAGAGATCTAACAAACAAGGCAAATGAGTGTTTTTAGTCAAAAGAAATTGTTCAGCATAATCAGCATGTGATTTAACCAAATCGAGAAGAATAAGATGAGGAAATATAATTAATGTCGACGAATGTTCTTTGTCTTTTTGTGGTCGACTATTATATATAGTTAATTCTTTGATAAAAGGAAAATAATGAAATGTGAGTTTGAAAAACTGATGTTCAAAAGGACATGCAATATCATTCATTGTTAGACATCGAACTTTATCAAATATACCATCTTGAAAATGAAAAGAGTTGTTAAGACCAAAAAAATGTTCGAATTGATATGGAAGTGAATAGACATGACAATGGCCTATGTTCTTCATTTGTTGAGAAAAAAACATATGAACTAACTTGTCCATATCCTCTTCCAATAAAGCTATTTTCAATATCTTCATTAGATGAAAGATGAATTTTTTTCTTTTCTATAATAGTTACTGTATTTATACTGAAAGTAAATTTGTTTAATCGTAGCATATGAATAAAAATGTCATTATATATTTGAATACCATCAGCATAATTCTTGTCAACTCTTATAACTAACAGAAATAATATCAATTCTTCAAGATTTATCATTCGATGAAGTAATGCAATAATTTGATTGTCATATTCCTGTTCGTAAGTATTCAAAGTCAATGAGAAGCATTTTCAGTTTAGGAAGGTCTTCCTAAAAAAAATAAAATAATATTAAGAATGTCTTTTTATTGAAAACATAATTATTGAAATTATATTTACCCAGTCACCATTTATATATGATGGCTTATGTTTATATAAAAATTTCCTCACATTGATAATCAATTTCGATAAAGAATCAAGACGTCCATCAAGAAGATAAAGCCAATCAAAAAAAGTTTCGACATTAATTTTCAATTCAGTTAAATTTGAAGACATAGAACTTATTTCTGGTAGATAATAAATAGAAATCCACGTTCTACGATGAGAAAACAATTGACAAAAATTCAAATGGATTAATCGTTTAGTTAAAGATAAAATCAATGCAAATATATTTGATGCAATTTCAGATAATTGAGATATTGTTTCATTTTGAATATCGATATTCAGATGTGTGATTTGATTAGGAAGGAGATCACGAAGAATTGAATGATCTTTAATGTAAAAAAAAACAAAAATAAAGATGAAATTAAATTTGTTCTATTACTTTATTTTATTAAAAATAAAATAAATTCTTTCAATAATATACCTGTCAAATACTGAAAAAGTAATTTTTCTTCAAAATTAACAAGTGATAACGAATAAAGTTGAGGATAACTGACGGTAAGAATACGTTCCATTGAATTTTGTTCAATAGTAAGTTTATTTACATGTGAATAAATTTGAGGTAAGAGAGTTTCATTAGAAAAATTGTTAGCCGCTTAAGTCCTCAAAATGGTGTCCATCCAGATAGGCTCCTTGTTCTAATGTGGCCTGTAGTTGCCTATTTTCCAGTAAAACAGAGATTATTCAGAAGTATTAGAATAGGCTCGTGTCATATAGGATGTAGGTGTTTGTGGTTGTGACTGTTGATGAATGTTGGAAACAGACTTCTCTCCACCCACACCTATACCCCATTATGAAGTCTTCTAAAAAAAATTACTGTGACCGATGAAGAAAAATTTATCCTTACACTCACGTTTATATTTTTATTTTATTATTATGAAAAAGAATAGGAAAAAACTCGTTTCTGATTGATCAGTTTTCCGACCAACGAAAGCTGAGATCAAAAATTCGACCTCATTTTTGAGCTCCTCGCTTCCAACAAACCTGTAACCAAGTGTTATCAGAATGATAGAAAACCCGATGAATAGCAAAGGTCATTTCTGATTGATTGGGACAGACAAACATACATACATATTTTCAAATGTAATACCCTTTCTTTCAGAAAATGGAATAACAACACAATTTGATAGTTTATCAACAGCAACAGATGATAGTGATAGTTATCGAACAGTATCAAAATTTCCTAAAACTCGACCAACAGAACTTAGTTCTAAACAAGGTCAAAATGGACAAGAAATTTCTCTTGTTGCTAATCATATGAAAACCTTAGCATCACCTAAATGTAAATTTTTGAATATTATCTTTTTTTTGTTTATGAATATTGTTATTTCTCAATGGGATTTATTATCGATATCAATGTTCATTCGAACCTCATATAAGATTTTATTTACTATTTATCAGTGAATATGTATTGATATAATCTAGATCGAATTACGTAAAATTCTTCGAAAAACATTGGCGAAATCTGGAATTAGAGATGTAGTTTTTGATGGAGAACTTGTTTATTCTTTTGAAGATTTTGGACTTGTATTTGCATTTTTTTTTGAATAAAAAATCGAATTTCGTTTTCGTACATTTTAGAAAAAAATTATTTCTGCGAAACATCCAGTAACTAATGAATTAATAGCAATAAAAATGAAATGCACAGCAACAGCTTCACCTGAATTCTTTCATTTAGCAAATTTGATTGGTCGAAAGTAAATTATTTTTTTTTCCAATTTGTTTTTGTTCCACTGTGTATTGTAGATTATTAGAAATTGCTGGTTTGAAATTACTTTAGCATTAAATAATGCAATGCTAATGCTAAGCCATCATCCCTAACCGTATCATTTAAATAAGTTTGTTTTGCATAATATGTTTTGTGCGTCAAATTATTGAAGGTAAAACAGTATTGAGGTGATTGTTGACTTTATCAATATAACTGAGATTATGATATTTAAGAATTACTTGACTTCTAGTCAAAGGAAAAGCGCAGAATCCGAGAATTCTGCGAAACCCGAGGGAATTCTCAATTTCAGGATTCCGTACTTTTTCAAAACAGAACTAAAGTGCTTTGTTTTAGCAAGAACTTCTAGAAAATCCAAGGGAATCTTATGGAATCTTAGAGAATCCTATGAAATCTTATATAATCCAAGAGAATCCTTGAAATTCAAGGGAATTCAAGATTCCAGGATTATGCACTTTCCCACTTGAAGATTTTCTATGTTTATTTTCCTCTGTTAGAATGCTGTTTTTCTTCTAACTAAATTAATAAAATGAATTATGAAAACATATTAATAGTATTTTTGCAATTGAATCATACTGACAAAGATTTATTAATTACTAATGCTTATTAACTTTAGAGTTTTTTTCTGTAATAAAAGTTTACGTTTTACATCTTGTATATATGACATATATTATCAAAAATTAGTTTGTTTATCTTGTATGTTTGAAACGGTTCAACAAATAAAAAAAACACAAATCAGTTGTCAATTAATAATCAATGGTATATAATAATTATAAAAGTGATATATTGTTTTATATGAATTATTCAAAGGAGTAAGTATATGCATCATGCACCAAATTATACTGAAAGGCACTGAAAAGGTACCATAGTGTTCATAGAACTTTGGAAAAAAATAATATGACAGTATGACTTTCTATTTTAGAAAAATGGATTGTCTTTTTCATGTATACTAATCGAAAGGACATTTTAGATATCGTTTGAAATCAGAATAATATAATACACATATAGTAAAAAAAGCATACAATGAGTACGTGGCTATGATTATCTTCATCAAAAGCAACCATACTTGATTTTATTCTGAATAAAATACAAATTAATTCATTATATCTTTTATTGACATAATAAAGTTTACTGGAATTTATCAAGATAATATGGATGTGGAGATGGAGTTTGACCCTTACATGCAATGAAGATTGTAAAGATTAGAAAAGTTCTAATTTGTTGGAGATATGATGTTTTAGATATGCATTCTTGTATTCCCAATCTCCTGCTTATATAAAAGTTCTATTTTTTACAGCGTGATGTTTTCGTTCTTTTCTTGAAAGTGCAATTAGCTGTTTTAAATAATTCTATAGTAAATATTTCGTTACAAATTTATGTTATAACATTCATTATCATGTGTTGTGTCTTAATAAAAGATAATAACATATTCTTATAATATTTTGTCGATTTATCTCAGAAATACATTCAACTAAGAGAAATAGATGTAGCGCTGAAATCTCGTAACGATAGATGTCAGAAGGTATTGATGAAAAATTCAAGGCAATATGATTGGAGTGGTTACATTTTCTCATTTCTACAAATAGATTCTGTCCAATATCCCATCTCGTATTTATATTTTTTAAAGACTAGATAGAATAAACGTATTTATATACAACAGTTGTTTTTCATTTACATAAATACATCAATTATCGCTTTCTAAACAATAAACTATTTTTACTTAATTTTTTTTTAAGATGCAACATGGAACTTTAATACTTGAAGATGGTTCTGAATTCAATGGTTTTATATTTGGAGCGTCAGCTAATGCTACCGGTGAAGTCGGTAAGATTCTATTATAATTGATCTCTTCTTTTGTTACGTATTTGTGTCAGGCAAAATTGAGATTTAGGCAAAAATTAAACAAAGCTATTAAAAGACTTGAAATTTTAAAAAAGTTAAAAAACATAAAAATAAATAGTTGATCCTATAAATTTAAGTTAAGTTATATTCAACTTTAATTGAAATTTAACTCAGTTTAGGAAGATGTAGAGTTCGCCACTTTTTTTAATACAAATCTAATTAAAACTTAGGAAGATGTAGAGTTCGCCACTTTTTTCAATGCAAATCTAACTAAAATTTAGGAAGATGTAGAGTTCGCCACGTTTTTCTATGCAAATCTAAATAAAATATAGGAAGATGTAGAGTTCGCCACGTCTTTCTATGCAAATCTAAATAAAATATAGGAAGGTGTAGAGTTTGCTACTGTATTCTATTAAAATTCAATTGATTTTAGAAATTTTTAGAATTGGTCAGTATAGTCTGTCGAAATCTCGTTGAGTTTTGAAAGGCGAGAAATTCGAAAGATTAGACAATATATATTGTTTGAATAGCAGTCAATTATAGTCTTTCAACGAAGTTATTGATATTTTTTTCACTCTTTTAATAATTTATTGTCGTTGAGTTTTTTATATCAACTATTTGTTTTGACTCTGATTTTTATTAACAAGATCTGTTTATTCACAGAAAACTCGATAAATAGACTTATGTGGGCATTGTCTTTCTTACGATTCAATATAAAATGCTATCAACAAAAACTGTGATAAATATTAATCTCTCGAAAAGTCATTTATATATGATCACCGTAAGAATAGCGGATAACATATAATGAATCACATAGATGATTCAATAATCAATCATAATATGCCTGAAACATGTTGCTATGGATTAATAGAGTTCTTTTGTTGATAAATAGCACAATATTTACATCTAAACTTTGATCATTCAATCAAAAAAACAGCTATTCTAGTTACGCTAGCAGAAAACGCCTACCCGACCAAAAAAAGAAAAAAAAAGGAGGAGGACTAAGATTATGTTTATTTCAATCCTTTTTCACATCTTTGTTCATATACTTCAAGGGTAAAGTTCTGTTTATTCTATATGTTTAGAATATTAATGTGAAAGGTAGATGTTAAAATGTTCAAAAACGAACTTGTTGGCAATATTGATAATATTGGTTTTTGTAATATTTTCTTTTTCGACATGAAAGACAAAGTATTATAAAGATTTTTAAAAGACATCGATTATACTTCTTATAGTTCATCGATAAACTATCTAGACATTTATCGCATCATGCATTAGTCGTGTGGGGAAAAAAAAGAAAATTTGTCAACGAATAACTTTTTAATCTCTTATGATACTGGAGAAAAAAGTGTAGCTGTTTAATGAAATATTCAGCTACTCCTGTCTTCTAACTGAGATATTTCGAGCAAGGACCAAAAATGATAAAAATTCGTCAACTAATACCCTTTTGATCTCTAATAATATTGATGAAATAACCACAGCTGTTCTATGATTACTCAGCCAGCCATTTATTGTAACTGATCTATTTCTAGCAAGGACCGAAAAAAAAAGAAAATTCGTCAACTAATAACCTTTTAATTTCTAACAACATTAAAGAAATAAGCGTAGTTTTTTTAATAAATACTCAGGTACTCATTCACTCTAATCGTTTTATTTCGAACAAGGATCATTTCAAGAATTGAATTCTTTTACCTGCTTGTAATAAGTTATCAAATCAATTAAGATATGTATGAAAATGTTTAAATAAGTACAATGATTTTTATGTAGCGGTAGACCTTCAATTGCTGATTATAAAAAGAAGTCCAACACGAAATTTTGTTAGAAGTCAATTAGATACTTAAATCATATAATAGCTGTATATATTTTTTTTTCAACTAAGCTCTTTTAAAAAGTTATCATAATGTTTAAATTGTGACATGAAGTACTGCTGCAAACGAAAGGTTGTTACAAAACAATTAGCTACTTTATCATCAAGTAGCTGTATATTATTCGAAAAAGTATTTCGTTTGAGAAGCTACGGTTTCAACATGATTATATTTCTAAACATTCTTCATCGCTTCAAATAGTAGCATCGGTTAATCAATTTTTGCATCGCATAGTAAAGTTTTCAAGTCAGTATTTTGTACAACAAAAATGCAGCACCAAGATGTAAAACGTTAATCGAAATCTGTTGAAGACTTATTCGTAAGGCGACGAAGAATAATCTTTTCATTCATGCCTTGCATGAGTACAATCTTTTCTCTAAATCTGCTATTGAAAGATTAAAGATGTTTACTTGCTTGTTCATAAAATTGTTTTCGAGATTCAATTTCTGATGTTGAATGAGAAGTCATCACTGTACTTATGATACGATTACATATGTGAAAATGAATGTTCTGCTTTTTTATTTACAGTTTATGTAAACGAATAATTATTTTTTTTTATTGATAGTCAGATCAACAATCAATAAAAAAAATTTTCCTTTTTCGCGCCTACTAAAACTAATTTTACCTAAGTTTAATTTTACCTAAAGTTTAATTTTGCCTGGGACATATTTTTATTTCTATTTAGTCTTTCAAACTGGTATGGTTGGTTACATTGAATCATTGACTGATCCATCTTATTGTGGACAAATTCTAGTTCTTACTTTTCCACTTATTGGCAACTATGGTTTGTTTCTTTATATCTTAACCTTTGAATATTTATTTTATATTTAAAATTCTTTAGGTGTACCCGATGAAAAAGCTGTTGATGGTTTTGGTATACAGCGATGGGTTGAATCAAATAAAATTCATGCATCAGGATTAATTGTTAGTGATTATACAGAACAGTATAGTCATTGGAATGCTGTTGAATCTCTTTCATCATGGCTAAAAAAACATAATATTCCTGGTCTTTATGGTTAATCATCTTCTTTCTTATTGTTTATAATTACATGATAGTAATTATTTTCATTTTAGGAATTGATACACGTACATTAACTAAAAAGCTTCGTAACCATGGAACAATGCTCGGAAAAGTAAAAATCTTCATATTTTTTTTTTGTACTTCTTTTTTACGAAATTAAGTATGAATAGATTGTTATGAAAGGAACTGATCCAACATCAATTCAATTTCAAGATCAAAATGAAGCTAATCTTATGATACAAGTTTCTATTCAAGTAAGTAAACCTTTTTAGCTTTTTGACTACTTCTTTTTTTTTTGGTTGAATTATTAGAAACCATATGTAATCAATCCAACAGGAAACATATCTATTGCTTGTATTAATTGTGGTATGAAAAATAATCAATTACGAATTTTATGTCAACTCGGTGGAAAAGTAACAGTCTTTCCATGGAACTATCCTGTTAAGCCAGATGGTATTTTATTTGAAAAACTAAATAATAACTTTCATTTTCTTTTTATTTTCTAGAATTTGATGGTTTATTTTTGAGTAGTGGTCCCGGTGATCCAGAAATTCAATGTCCAGAAACTATTAAAATTATTAAATCATGGATTACAAGTGAAATTATTAAACCGGTATTTGGTATTGGTCTCGGACATCAAGTAAAAATTTTAAATAAATTTGTTCTTTGGTTATATGGATTGGTTTTTAGTTAATGGCTTTAGCTGCTGGAATGACAATAAAAAAACTTAAATATGGACATCGAGGTCATAATCAAGTATGTCTTTAATAATAACTGTGGAATGTGTAATAATAATTATTAATATTTTCTAGCCATGTTTATTAGAAGGAACTCCATATTGTTTTATAACATCAGAAAATCATCGTTTTGCTGTTCGAACATTAGCTAAAGATTGGAGTGTTTTATTTACAAATCAAAATGATCAATCAAAGGAAGGCATTATTCATGATTCAAAACCATTTTTTAGTGTTCAATTTTATCCAGAACATTATACTGGAACACATGATACAAAAAATTTATTTGAAATATTTCTTGATATTGTTCAATCATATAAATCAACTAAACCAATTAATGCTGAAAAGTATTTAGTTGTACAATTAACAAAACGTGTTAGTGATGCTAATGCACCACCACCAGCATTTTGTAAGCGAGTAAACAAAGTTTTAATATTAGGTGGTGATGGTTTAACTATTGGACAAGAAGGAGAATTTGATTATTCTGGTAGATAAGTACGCTTTCTATATCATTTTAATTAGTTTTTATTTTAAAGAAAAACAAGCAATTAAAGCAATGAAAACAGAAAGTATTAAAACTGTATTAATCAATTCAAATTATGATATAGCTGTAACATCAAAAGAACTTTCGGATAATGTCGTATCTGTACCAAGAACACCAACTTGGGTTGAAGAAATTATTGAATTTCGTCGTCCTAATGGTATTCTACTTAGTTTTGGTAAAGAAACGGCATTAAATTGTGGTGTTAAATTACATGAAGAAGGTATTCTTCAAAAATATTCATGTAATATATTAGGGTGAATAAAATGTTTTCATATGTTAAATTATATATATATATTTTTGTTTTCGATAATATGAATAGAACACCGATTCAATCAATTCAAATTACTTTAGATCGATGTTTATTTACACAAAAAATGTCTGATATTGGAGAAAAAGTTGTACCACATAAAGTTGTTGAATCTCTTGAAGAGGTTTGATCAAAAAGATTTGATATATGATCCCTAATGGTCTATTTTAGGCATTGATATCAGCTGAACAATTTGGTTATCCAGTTGTTGTTCGGTATGTAGATATTTTTCATACTTCTCTTGAATAGTTGTTCTATTTAGTGCTACTTTTCCTGAGAGTCAACGTATATCATGTTATGTTGATAATCGTGAAGAATTAATTTCTTTAGTTCCTTCAATATTAACTGATTTATCACACTCATTAATTGATAAATCACAATCATCAATTGATAAATCAAAATTATTAATTCATAAAACACTTAAAGGTTGGAAAAAAATTGGATATGAAGTTGTTCGAGATCAATATGATAATTGTATTGTTATATGTAATATGGAAAATATGGATCCATTACCACTTCGTACTGATTATTCAATTGTTATTGCACCAAGTCAAACATTATCAAGTGATGAATATAATTTATTACGAAGTGTATCAATTAAAGTTGTTCGTCATTTGGGTATTATTGGTACATGTAATGTACAATTTGCATTAAATCCATTATGGATGGAATATTATATAATTAAAGTAAATGCAGGGTTATCTTGTTCATCTGAATTTGCATCAAAAGCAACTGGTTATCCATTAGCATATATAACAGCTAAACTTGTACTTGGATTAAATTTAGTTGAATTGACAAATAATATAACGAATCAAACGTGTGCTTGTTTTGAACCAAGTCTCGATTATATAGTAATTAAAATTCCAAAATGGAATTTAGATAAATATGATCAATATTCAAACAAAATCGAGAGTAGTTCAAGTAAGTGATGATGATTTAACCCATTAAGGATAATTATTTTATTTTCAATAGAAAAAAGTACCGATGGAGTTACCGATGGAGTTATCTCCATCGGTAGATCATTCGAGGAAGCTTTTCAAAATGCTCTACGAATGGTCGATCACGACATAATTGGTTTTCATTCAGATGCACCAACTATTGCAGATGAAGTTAAATTAATTAAAGAATTATCTAAAATTTTATTGTATTTTCTTGTAGGAATTAACAATTTGTCGTGCTGAACGTGTTCTCAATTTTGCAACAGCTATTCGTCAAGGGTATACAATAGAACGTCTATTCGATTTAACAAAAATTGATCGATGGTATTTATACAAATTTGAAGCAATTATTAAATTTATTGTTGAACATTCTCATCCATCAACTATTAAACATAAATTCATTTTACGTGAAGCAAAACATTTAGGCTTTTCCGATCAACAAATTGTTAAATATTCACGTATTACTGAACTTAAACTTCGTGCATTATATGACCAATATGGTATTCAACCATTTCGGAAACAAATTGATACACTTTCAGGTGAATATCCAGCAGCAATAAATTACATTTATTACACTTATGATGGACAGGACGACGATACATAACAGAACAATGACAATAAATGTGGTACGGACCACTTTCTTTTTTTTTTTTTATTTTTGATAAAAATCATATATTTTAAATATGACAAAAGTTATGACCTAGTACTTATTATCATATATCAGAATATCGAAAAGAAAAAAAGAAAATAAAAAAGTATTTCATAAAAAAAAAAAAGAAACTTTTTCATATGTCAAGATAACTAATACTGTTGGAAAGTATTTCCGTTAAAATAACATCTAAATGCAAATGAACAATAAAAAAAGAAAAACTTTGAAGAAAAAAGGAAAGAAAACTATTTGGTTTTAAGTATTCAACATCTGTCAATTGATACAGAAAGATAAAAATGCGTGAAGATAATTGAAATTTAATTTGATAATAATTGACACAAATAATAAATAAAAAAATATGTGTAGATGCATTCTATAAATTGCTGACGTCCATTAATCTTTATAAAAGATCTTTTTATGAAAGAAAAATACATTAAATACTCGATATAATAACAGGAATATATTAACAATTAAGAGAAGTTTATAGTGACACCTAGG